AAACAACAATAAATTAGGATTATATTAGTTTAACTAAGATTCTTTGTGACACGATTCAAATCGTACTTATTTTTTGAAGGAATTAATAACAAAAAGTGGTCAAGGGCTGAAATAGATATTCAGTTCAATATTAAAGAAAGATTAATTATTAAAGACTACAATAATGGTTTATCACAAAAAGACATATCAATAAAGCAATGCTGAGGTACTTTATAAAGAAATTTTGGGAAAGYGATTATGTGGAAACCCATCATCGTAAAGGACGACGCAAAGATAAAACACGACAGTATGATTCAAAAATACTGAGAGAATTTAATTGGACAAAGATGAGCATGTGCAAGAAAAAAAAATTGACCAAGACGATTAAAATTTGCTCGGGAACACATCAACTAGTCAGTGAAACGATGGAAAACAATATTTTCTSAGATGAATCAAAATTTAGTTTTAAATACTCAGATCGAATGGGATGAGTTTGTCGACCAAAAAATAAGCGGCTAGATCCCCTACTAACAAAGTACGGTTAAGCATGGAGGTGATATGCGTTATGGGGGTGTTTTCCGGGTTTGGTGTTGGACCTATGGATCGATTGGCGCACTGAATATTGCATATATTTAATTTTTTTTTTAATGGCATGAGGTCAAATAATTTCTAAGATTTTGTATGTTTTCACAAAATAAGTGAAATAAGTACAAATCTGAATGATTTGTTTATATTCAAAATGATAACTGCGAAAATTACACATGATTCGTTATGGTATCTAAAAAATTTCTATATACTGGATCATAAGTCCCTTACAAATCAATAAAAAGAGGGACGGCTAATGCTGGACAATGTAGGAGAAAGTGCCTGGATGTTTCCACTGCAGACTCCTCCTTACATCTTTCACAACTTGCGTCCGACAAGATGAATAAAATGAGTTTAAATAGTTTAAATGAAAAATGTAATTTTTATTCAAAGGAAGCTGGTTATTTTTTGACYGAACGGTCAATATGAAGTCCTGGCATGAAGAACCTTTTTCTTTGACAAGATATCTTCATGAAATTTGGCATAGACATTTTGTTTAGATGGGACCACTATAACATATAACAGCCATTAAAATTGGCCGATCAATATCACATCTTCATATRATACCTTTTTTTTCTTATTAGGTAGCCTTAACGTGACTTCAATCTTTCTTTCTTTCACTTCAAAATTAAACTATCAAACAACAAACCTTTCGCTGTAACGTTTTCAGCTTTATTTATAGGTAGATATAGTTCCTAAAATGAAAGCACATACTAAGGGTATTATTTTCAGTGAAGCCGAATTTTTCGTGTTTAATTTACCTCTAAACCTCTTCATCCCTGGATCCAAATAATATTCTCTGAGTTCCTCGATAGAATTGCATTGATTGGCTCTTACCTTTGCAAAAGCACTAAGAGTTAGTCATTTGCATTTTGCTTTCTAACAGAAAGCTATAGCACTGAAGTATTAAAACAAGTTTGACGAAAAAGAGAGATTTGTAGTCATTGAGAAAATGTCACCTTGTATATAAAGATTCAATATTATTAATATATAAATATTTAACTCTTTCTTATTTTGATTGACCTGTAAATGWCATTTTGACCAGTTGCTTTTGTTGGGGAGAGAATAACTTGTTTCCAAGCCTAAATGGCTGCTAATGGCGCTAAGCCTGTACCAAGTTGTCTGAGACTTTAAGACCTCGGGGAGTTAACGCTGCCTCATACTTCAATTGAATAATATTTACTTTTTATATTTATGGGGACTTTGTGAAAAATGATTATCTCCCACCTCCAGTCTTTAACGTGCTCGTATAATTGGTTGCCTTAGCACCCGGAAAATACAAGTGAAAGCTCCTCGTGGTACAAGTTCAATAATTCAATTACAAAATTAATAATAATAGTAAATAGTTTTATGCACGCGCTACTATATTACGAATGTTGGTGTTGTTGTAATAACATCATAACTTTTATACAACATGCAATTGTAAACAAGTGGGTGCAAAGTAAAGTTGGTCCAACGGAAATCCCCTTTCGAGAGCAACACCATTTAATTGGCTGTAACATTGTAAACAATGACAAATCAGTACATTGAAAAAATTTAGTGAGGCCACCAAGAATATGATAGCGACGTGCGTTACATTCGTTCGGACGTAGATTCGTAAACAGTTACAAGTTCGATTAGACCATGACAATTTCAAAATGGGCAAAATGAAAAACAACCACGTCGCCTCCCATTTAAAATTATGGTGGACTTTAAGTTGTTTATTGTGAACTAATGACTTTAGTGTACTTCCCAAAAATCAATCTTTTAATACCTCGCTTTTTGTTATCAACGATTGTGTCGTCAATTAATCCTTAATTTATCATTTATGGGTTATAACTTTTTGGGTGCTACCGTTCGATGCAAATATAACAATTTTCTGCACCTGTGCTTTTGTAGGGATATCAAATATCACCCTTCAATTTAATTGATAAGCCTCGTTGTTATTTTTTAAGTAGCAAATGCCAAAGGGGAACATTTATTAACGGTTTTGATATGTAACCTCAGAAATGAGGGAAGGGCTTGCACTTCATGGCTAGATATTAAAAAAAAACGTTGTTCCAAGTTTCTATAAAACAAGCACATATTTATTTGAATGACGAAATGCTCGATCGATATAGTTTTGCCTATACATGAGAGTTGGCTGAGGGTCTTTCTTATATACCAGATGCACCGGTATGAAATGACCGTTTTT